ATAAAAGAATAAAAGAAAATTAAAAAAGAAATTGTTAAGGGTAAAATAGTCTTTTTATGTCTGGAGGGACTAAGTGTGTAAGAAAAAACAAATCTAGGGACCGTCCGAGTTAATTTTTAAAAATAAGGACCAAACGTACTTTTGGACACATGCACGAGGGACTAATGGTGTAATTTACCCTAAAATTTAAAAAGAAGATGAGATGAACTAAGCATTTTTTTTTTCTACCGCCAATATTATGGATGTTATCATAAATGATTTCCACGATGTTTAAAATATATTTTGATACATGATGTAGGCTTTTATTTTTATAGGAGTCATCTCATTCGAAAATAGAATATGATGTAACAATGCTTTTCACTTTGTTAAACACTATGAAAAAAAAACATTCAATGTCAATTTATATTTCTCAATATGTTACTTCCAATTAAATAATTGCCAAATAAAAACAATCATTTACACGAAAAAAATAGAAAAATTACCGTACCAATCTACATTATTTACATTCAATCAAAAAGTACATATTTGACCATCTTAATCAACCAGTCAATGCATTTAGAAGCAAATCAAATTGCATTAATTAGAATTAACAAGACATTAAATGTAATTAAAACAAAAAAAAAAGTTTTTCTTGTTGACCAACTAGTTGACCATTTATATTGTGGTGGCCACCTGCAACTGTAAATTGTCTTTGAGGGTTTGATCTTCGTACTATAAACAATTTGTTAGGCCACCCACATACACAATTTCGTGAAACTCTTTGAAAGCCCATTTTTAAATTTCGATATTATTTATAGGCTTATAGCTACTCTTTCTTCATTCATTTCTCACAAAAGAAATAAGAAAAAACACAAAATGGCCATGAAGAAATATGTGGTAGAGATTGAAAAAGCAAAAGAAGCAAAAGGTGGCAGGCCGTCGGTTGGTCCGGTGTACCGGAATGTGCTGGCAAAAGATGGATTCCGGCCTCTCAAGGACGGTGTCAATAGTTGTTGGGATGTTTTCCGGTAGGTCCAACTCTCCTTTTCCTCTTCCTTTTGGTTTTTGTATTTTCATGTTATAAATTTACATTCATGCATGATTTATTGTTCTTTTGTTATAGTAATTAGTTATATCCGATTTTATTAATATTCAAAATTTCTGTTTTAACCATTATAAACATAACATCCAGGATTCATTGTATTTTGTTCTCAAGGATTTAATTCAAGATTTAGGGGTGTTTGGGATTGTTAACTTGTTGTTTGTGTGTGTGTGTGTTTTTTTTTTTCTGTCAAATTGCTTATTTTAAGCGTTATCAAAACAAAGTCTTACAAAAAGGTTTGAATTAGTTTACCAAAACATAATAATTTTGTTTATTAGTGTTCGACAAACGATGGTTATATATTTAGCAAGAAAGAAGTAAATAGTAAATTAATATGTATGTCGCCGGTGGTGATGAAAATAATAAACATACGAGGCTGCAATTCATATGATTTTTAGGGTTAAGACAAGGTAAAAAAGGTAAAAGATTGATTTTCACCAATAATAATTACTTTCAAATAATTTAGAAAGAAACAAAAACTATGTATTTAAGTCGACACATAATTTATATTTTAAAAAGTCCAAATACTCAAAAAGTCTTAAGTAAGCAATTTGAGTATGTATCTTCTTAAAGGCAGCAGCTGTAATTTTATTTATTGTAATTTTCTTTAAAAGATACATACTCAAATTGCTTACTTAAGAACTTTTGAGTATTTTTAATAAAACTACTATATTTTCTTAAAATTGAATTTTTTTTTTTGCAAAATTTGACCCAAGAACCTATAACATGTTTCTAAAATTTTGGAAAGTTAGAACGGTTTTATGATGATTTTTCGAAAGTTAACAGCATTGGGAGTATAGTACTCAAATTAAATAATAAATATAAAGTAAAAGCCTTAATAATTTATGCATTGTGAATTATGTTCATATGTTTTGGGTCGAGGCCCATATACATGTATTTGATGGGCCAACGGCTGAAAGTCAATACTAGTCTGTTTTAGTTCCCGCTATTACAATCATTTTTTCTTCTAGTTTCTTCTAAGATGGATGCATAGTGCCTATGCTACTATGCAGAGTGTTGATTTCAACATGGAACTGTCGTGTAAGTATCTAGCTTTGTGCGCTTAATTTTGTCGATTATATAGATGCAACATGTATAAATCTCTGTGTGTTTAATGTAATTGCGTTGCCTGATGTATGCTACATAATTTCGTCTTTAAATAGATGAACTGATTGATCTACTATGTTGCTGTATTGTTAAAATTTATAAAAAAAACATCACGATATGAAATGTTTAAATGTACAACACCGTTATCAATGCATTGTCGTGCTCGCAATGTGCAATTATCGATGCATTTGTGATTTTTCTGATGTGTAAAATCTACTTCGCGTTGACGATAGAACGTAATTTTTTGAACCTGTAACATTGTAAATAGGTTTAGATTGGCATTTAGTAGCCATTTGTATTCGTAAAGGCGTTTGCGATTATCTGTAATTGCTCTTTGTAAATTAGGATTAGGTTTTTGAACCTGGAATCTGGTGTTATTTGTCTGTTCTTAATATGATTTGCTCTAAAAATTAACAAAAGAACTGCGAAGAACTTAACGTTCATGGAATCATGGTCATTTGAGCTGTTATATTCTATTTTTACACAGTTTATCAGTGGAGAAATATCCTAACAACCAGATGCTTGGCCAGCGGGAGATTATTGATGGCAAGGTACTTAATTATAGACATAATCTTGCTCCTTTTTATGATTTCTGTAGTTTTTTTTCCTCTGAATCTCATTGAGTGGTTTCTGATTTTGTTCAGGCTGGTAAATATGTTTGGTTAACTTACAAAGAAGTATATGATACTGTACTGAATGTTGGAGAATCTATATATAGTCGTGGAATTAAGAAAGTGAGGATTTTTTTCTAATATATTTTACAGTTTACTTGCTTTTATTCACTTGTCATAGTATAGAAAGGCTTACCATTACAGTTGCTCATGTTCAGGGGGCACGATGTGGAATATATGGGATAAATTGCACTAATTGGGTTGTAAGCATGCAGGTAACTTTGATGATTTAGATTTATATACATACATACATAGATATGTTCTTTTCATTGACCTTCACTTTTTGTTTTAAAAACTAAAATTTTTATTAAATTCCAAATTATGTTCTATAATTTTGAAGTTTTATGCTGCAAGGATATTCAACTAATTGCATTAAATCTTCTGTAGGCCTGCAATGCTCATGGCCTTCATTGTGTTCCTTTATATGACACTTTAGGTAATACATTTTGTTCCAGTTTTTTTGTAAAGATCTTTTTAAATAAATTGATTACATAACAAGTAAACAAACAACATTTTTTCAGGTGCTGGTGCAGTGAAATACATCATATGTCATGCAGAAGTCTCAATTATATTTGCAGAAGCAACTAAAATTTCTGAGGTAAGTAATTCTACATCGTCATTAAGAAAAATTATGATGCTTAATTGTTATATACTATTTTGGTCATGCTTATATGTTGTCACTTACAAAAACGTTCTCACTGTTTATAGGTGTTAAAAACTTTTCCTGATACTGAGAAGTACTTGAAAAGTAAGTTTTATTTATCTGCTTTTCTCATAATAGTGATATACCCCTCTCATGAGTTAATATGTTTTGTCGTATTTTATAGCTCTTGTTAGCTTTAACACAATCACAAATGAGCAGAAGTTAGTTGCTGAAAAATGTGGTTTGGAAATTTATTCTTGGGAAGAATTTTTACATCTGGTAAGCAGATATGATATTCTTAACTCATTATATTGTGTAAGTTTGTTTGTTTTTTTTTTTTATAGTATATATGACTGATGTGGTTGGTTGATTAATACTTAATAGTCAAAGGAAGTTGAAGACAGAGTTGAGCTGCCATTGAAGACTAGAAGTGACATCTGTACAATCATGTATACTAGTGGAACTACTGGTGAACCAAAAGGAGTGATGTTAACCAATGAAAGCATTCTTTCAATGTTGTCTGGAGTAAATCACCACCTTGACAGCATGAGTGAAGAGGTTACTATTAAATATTAATTAACACACAGCCTAAATTACATTTATTTTGTGCATTTAATTACATCACACTTTCTTATCCTTTTTAATTTAATCCCACATGTCTTTTAACTTTTTTTTTTTTTTCTTCTGGTTTTTATCAGTTCCAAGTGAGCGATGTATTTTTTTCATATCTACCTCTTGCCCATATATTCGATCGGGTCATTGAAGAATTATTCATTTCCACTGGTGCCTCAATAGGATTTTGGCGTGGGGTAAGTCATAATCACATTCAAAAATTTTGTAATATGTGTGTGTGTGTGTGTGTATATAGGTGTTTATGTCATATAGACCATTAAAGTTTCATTTATTTTTTTTCCATTCACCTTTTGATCATTAAAGGTTTTTAGAACTTAACTTGATGTTTTGTATTCATTTTATCATTGTAACATACTGTAGCATGTTTTATATGTTTTTTCCTACATGGCATCCTGTGTGCCACGTGGCACATACATGGCATCGTATGTCTCTGCCACATGGATGCCACGTAGACAGAAAACCTATAAAACATGCTCGAACCAGTAAAATAGTAAAATAAAACAAAACATCAACTTAATTGACAAACTCGTCCCTTTAAAAGCCTTAATGGTCAAAAGGGTAAATGAGAAAGGTTTCAATGGTCATATATAACATAATCTCTAGATATATATACGTATGTGTGTGTAACTGTAACTGTGTATATGTACCCACATGCATTGCATGTATATATATTGTGATGTAACAATTCTTTTGATACTGAATTTCAGGACATAAAATTATTGATAGACGATGTGAAAGAGCTAAAGCCAACAGTGTTCTGTGCTGTGCCACGTGTGCTAGACAGAATCTATTCAGGGTTGCTGGAGAAAATTTCTTCAGGCGGTTTTCTCAAGCATACTTTATTTAATATTGCATATACATAGTGAGTTTATATATATATATATATATATATATATATATATATATATATAGTTTTTTTTTTCATTCATATGTATACAAGAGTTATATGAAAAGTTTCATATTAAAAAAGTTGACTTTTATATCTGCAGCAAACTGCATAACATGATTCGAGGGTACAAACATGAAGAGGCAGCACCAAGGTTTGACAAGATTATTTTTAGTAAGGTAATGCATGTAGTTGAATTTTTTTTTTTGTAATCATTAGATACGTAGATGGTATTTTAATCATTTAATTTATGTTTAAAAAAAAAAAAAGGTGAAAGAAGGTCTAGGAGGAAAAATGCGACTTATCTTATCTGGAGCAGCACCTCTTTCTCCTTCTGTGGAAACCTTCTTAAGAGTGGTCACATGTGCTCATGTTCTTCAAGGATATGGTATAAAATAAATTTATTACAAAGTATAAAGTAAAAACTACATTTTTGGTCCCTGTACTTAGTAATTTTCGTTTCTTTTAGTCCAAAAAGAATCTGTTTTCATTTTTGATCCAGTTGCTTAGTATTATCTTTGGCTTTGGTCTTAGTCCAACTTGAATAGTTTTTCATTTTTGCCCCCTGTGCTTAGTAATTTTCTTTGATTTTAGTCTAAAAATAAATCCTTTTCATTTTAGGTCTGTATGCATATGAATTTTCTCGGTAATTTTTTTCTTCAGTGTAGGTCTGGTGCTCAATAGTTATCTTTGGTTTTGGTAAATTTTTTTTCTTCATTTTTGGTCCCTATGTTTAGTAATTTGGTTTGGTTTTGGTCCAAGGAGTCATTTTTCATTCTAGGTCCCCATGCTTAGTAGTTTTCTAATCAACTTTACCTGGATGAGTTGAAGGAAGGTCGATTGTAGTTATACTGTCTTTTGGAAGTTGTCATTTAAAATGATTAATTAATTAATTATTAAATACATATGTGAATTTTTTTTATAGGTTTAACAGAAACGTGTGCGGGATCATTTGTTGCACAACCAAATGAATTATCAATGAGTGGGACAGTGGGCCCACCGTTACCAAATGTGGATGTATGTTTAGTTTCAGTTCCCGAAATGGGATACGATGCTCTGGGGATGGGGCCCACTACACCTCCACGTGGAGAAATATTATTACGTGGAAATTCATTATTCTCTGGATACTATAAACGTCAAGACCTCACCAAAGAAGTTCTTGTAGATGGATGGTTCCACACAGGTATTTTTATAATTCTACCATGTCACCTTTTGCATTTAAGTAATGCCAAATACTCTTTTATAAGTGGTCATTGAACTCGATTATTTTGTTGAACCTAAAAATTAATATACTAAAACTGTTTTAGGGGATATTGGGGAGTGGCAACCGGATGGAAGCATGAAAATTATTGACCGAAAAAAGAATATTTTTAAGCTTTCACAAGGCGAGTATGTCTCCGTCGAGAATCTAGAAAGCATATTCTCCCTTGTTCCCACCATTGATTCGGTA